TCACAATAATCAAAACAATGGAAATTAGTATTTATTTTTGGCTGATATTTGCACATTTAATCTGAAGATTTCAGATACTAAAATAAAAAATGACTTACAAATCGGCAAATAAAAAAATGAAGGGGAACAAAATACTTCTGTTTTTTATTTTCTAATATTTGGACATTGATCATTTGTTTGTGTTTTTGTTGTAGATCCTAAAATCCTCCAGTGCTCAGTCACCAATCAAAGAGCGCAGCAGAGGGAAGTCCTTATCACCACGGCGGCGGCAGCTCAGTCCACAGCGGCGGGTCACAAACCGCCGAGACAAATCGTAAGTGTTTACGCCTCGGGTGAGAAAACCCCAAAACCAAACAAAAAGTCTGTTTCTCAGGTCTGTCAGATGAGATTACACTTTTATCTTTTCTGACCCCAGCTGCTGCTGATAGTCTGCCCGGGTCAGGTTCCTCTTCTTTCTCAGGTCAAGGAGACTTCAGGCTTTGTTTGGTGTTTGAAGAATAAATTTATGTTAGAGCAGAGCATGTTTGAATCTGAAACGAGGTGACGTTGTTGTCAGATGTGTGCGATACAACACGTCCTGTCTGAGACTGACAGTCAGCTGTCTGACAGGACGAACACAGATCTGATCTGATGTGTTGCAAACAAACAAGTTGACAATGAGAGGTGACGCTCAGAGTTAGCTGCTTTTTTTAAAACCAGGCTCCTTTCTGACTTTAGGCACTGAGACTCTGAAGCTGAGTGTGTCTGTGTGTGTCTGTGTGTGTCTGAGTGTGTCTGTGTGTGTCTGAGTGTGTCTGTGTGTGTCTGTGTGTGTCTGTGAGTGTGTGTGTGTCTGTGTGTGTCTGTGTGAGTGTGTGTGTGTCTGTGTGTGTCTGTGTGTGTCTGTGTGTGTCTGTGTGTGTCTGTGTGAGCCGTCAGCTGTGTCAGGATGTAACCCAATCTGACCCAACCACTCAGCAGCCACCTCCCAGTCAGACAGCCTCAGGATCACTGACAGGTCAAAGGACATCCTCTGTTGTGGCTCTGAGTTATTGTGATAACTTGCTATTAAAAAAAAACTCAAACTTTTGTCTTAAAATAGTAAATTATTTACCAATCAGTACACAGATGGTTATTTTTAAAAGTGTTTCTTTGCACTAAGGGTAACATATCCAGCAAGAATCCACTTTTTTAGCTGTTAAATACATTTTACTTGAATTAAGTCTCTCCTAGTGCTGCAAAGATATCTTTATATTCTGTTTGGGTCAGATTTTTCAGCCCGTTCAGACGTTTTCTGAGCTATTACATCAATTTATCTGTGGCAGATCAGTGTTTCCCCTGGGGTGGGGGTGGGG